ACGCACATGGCCCGGTCCCCACTCAATGTACGGGGATTTTGCCAGAAAAGAGGGCCGGCTTGGATCCCACATCTGAGTGGGAGTGCTATGGAGGTCACATCGAGAAGCAGCCGCATTGAACCGGATTCCCAGTTGTCGAGTCGGTTAGAGACCATGCCACGTAGAAAGCACTGATTTCTGTCTGATCGAATACGCAATATACAGATATAAACTTGGTGTTATCTACTGCGGTCGGTGAAAGTTAATCAACTAGTGTCAATATCTCCTGACCTAAACAGGCAAGATAAAGACCTCGTGGCTCAATGGTTAGGACGTTCGACTCTGATCAAAAGGTCGCGAGTTCGAGGTTCGACGGGTGCACCACTTAGGGTTGGGTATGACTAGTTGACGATGACTAATGAGCCAGAAATGGCCATTTCAGTCTCCCTTTGCCGGCAATATTATCTACTGTTAGACAGCATACGACGACTTTTTTTTACGGAACGTAGACGTTTGCGATTATCAGTAGACGCGTTGTGATATGATTTTAGACAACTACTCAACTGTTCTCGGAGGCTTCTTCTCTTCCCAGATCACTTTTGTTTATTCGATCTGAAGAGATCACTGGAGCGACCAGCGTTAATCGGTATTTATCCGCTTCACTGGCCAATTTAATGAGCTGGGTTGAGTCGATTTGATTAAATTTCTCTTCCCATGAGACGCAGAAGAGTGCTCTGTTCACGGAATCAGCACAGCTGCGAAAAGCAGCAGATCATTTCGGTGTGTTCTCCCAGTACAAAGCCACACGGACCGCCAAAACCCAGTCCTCAGTGTTTTTACCGGCAAAAAATTCGCTCGAGAGAGAGAGAACGAGCGAGACAGCATATCTGCCTGTCCAGGGTCTGCGCCCATATTTACAATCACTTTAGTTGCTCATTCTCAATCGCCCCCGGATCTGTGCGCGGCGTGAGGCGTCCTCTTACGTGTATGAATGAGGTACGCTTGGGCGGAGACGCGAGTACGTTTTTCTTCTCCGGATTGGTATGCGCGAAAGCTCTTCTGAGTCATTGCTGCAGCGGTGAGTCACCCGCTGTCACCTCCAATGTCGCCAACACAAACACACGCTTTCATCGGGAGAGGGCCGAGCGGCCAGATTGTAGGCTTTGTTCGGCAAGCCCCCTCCCCCCTCGACCTCGCCCACATGATGAATTGTTACACAAAACAGTGGAATGTTGCAAAGAAGGCAAAGGCGGGATCACTGGAACAGCACTTGTATTAGCCTGAGGTTTCGGCTCCGTACAGGAGGACATCGTCAGAGAAAATTAGAGAACAGCAAATATTGGCATGTTTTGGGGTTTATCTACGAGAAAATGGGGGTGGAGGTAGCACTCCCTCACGT